TTGCCAGCAGCTTGTAGTTGTACTTTGTCTTGCGGCCAGCCAAACAACGCGATCGGATCTCATGCGGCCAGTTGATAACCCAAAACAGGGCCCTCTGCGGATGCAACTTGACACCTGACCTCGCAGACAACAGCTTGCGAACATGGATGCCGGCCCATGCAATGTCGGAGCCACCAGGGAGGCCTGTCTTGATATCCCCTGACACGCAGTACATCTAGCACAGCAGTCTCAGTCCAGATATCACTTGCACGGCTGAGAACTTCGGTACCTTTATCACGTTTGCTGCCATCATGAGTGAACTGGTTCTCGATGCCGCCCATCTCGTTAAATAAAATATGGAGGATGCCCCCGCAGCAGCGCGTTCTGGTTCTGGCAGCAAGGGTCCAACCACGCTTTTCCCAGGCGGGGTCTGGAATTCTTTGCTGAAGTCAGTCGGTCACCTCCTACAGCGAGATGGTACTATTGTGGTTGAGTGGCTAGAGACAGACCGGTGGTCTCAGACAGCAGTTTCAAGCGTCGCAAACGGCATGAATGGTGCGATCAGGTCATGGAAGTTGAAGCTCGCCAGGCGCGCGGCTACCTCGAGGACGAGATCACTCCCCAGGAGTTGCAGCGCAAGGGGCCCGCAGACACTGCCCTTGACTGCTGCGCACTGGCGTCGAGCATGCGTGCTGAGAGAGAGTGGGCGAAGGCATGGGGCTGTCAAGGTCCCAAGACTGAGCGCCCATGTCTTGGCGAGCATCGAGTCCCTGTCATGACGCCTCATCGGCTAAGCTCTTGATGCATGGCAGCAAGAGGTTCAAACTGAATACTTGCCAGCCTGACGGATGGCGCCCTAGGCATTGCAGCGTACTTGGGGAAGAGACCAGATTGGCGCGAGGGAAGTTGCTTCTTCTGATGGAGATGGTTGGCCAGCCCCCAGGATCCGCGCAGAAGTTGGTCGCCCAACTCAATCGCAACCCCCTCGGAGGACGCCTTAGGTTCCTACCGAGCGACGGCCAGGATTTCATTGCGGATTCGGCGACTGCGGCTGCGCCGCTGGAAAAATACCAAGGCATGAGTGGGCAGCGCAGCGCGCCCCAAGGCCGCGGCCCGAGCGATGCGGTGCGGCGACAGTGATTTCGGAAGGCACGAACAACATGGGTCTCTATATCGCATGTTTGTGATGTGGGGCCGTCTCCAGTTCTATGCACATGCACCTTGGGTCTTGTTGGCTAAGAATTGTTATGCCACGAATTTCCTCATCGCTGTGCTGAGGGTGGCTGCGCAAAGTTACTAGTGGCCACGCCGTCCCCTATCTGACAGCATGCTGATGGACACCCCCCGACCCCCATAAGGGGAATGGTGGCTGGATCTGCCAGTGCTACGTTTGAGGCGAAGATGGTGCTCACCCCGATGATGGACGCTGTAACTGAGGTCAGAGGGGAGTCCAACAGCCTGCTCTCCCTTCACGAACAGCGACCTGTCTCAGCACCAGTGGGGTGAGTCCATGGTGGAGGGTCTTAGTCAGATGCGAGAACATGCGCGCAGAGTTGGTCATACATATTGCAGAAGGAGTTGGGGCTACCGCTGGCAGTTCACAAGCTCAACATGGCCATTTCCTCTGGACGCATGATGGCCCTGGCAAGGCACATGTTGGGGCAGCTCGGAGGACGTGGCGAATGCGGGTTGCGCAACCTTGGAGTGGACTTCGCTGGCGGGAAGCATCGTTCTCACCCGAAGGCGCGCGCGACCAGGGCCCGGAGGTGGAGGGGGGCGGTCGGCAAGAAGAAGAAGCTAGGGAACCATGCGTTTCTCAAAGAGTTGGTATCAGACCAGGTTGGCGATCACAAACATGTTACCGACGGTTCTGCATGGTGGAGACGCCCATGCGGTCGGTCCGTCGCAGGTTCTACGATTGACAACATGTCTTCAAGTCGATGGGCACTTCGCTGAAAGGCATGATTGGTGATCTTGCATGGTCCCTGTTTCGGATCGAGGACCCGATGCATGCAGCGAGTATGAGTGTTTCAGGTATTGTGTTGGATGGTGGGTGTCTTCTGCGTCTCGACCTGGCCCACAGCGGTGACATGGCGATGTCCCAGGACCACCTGTGCTGACCAGGCTGTTCCAGGCTGCCCAATCCAACTTTAAACTCGAGGCTGCTGTCAAAAACTGGTTTAAAGAAATCAAGGGTCCACTCAGCGACGTTTTCCTCCGGCTATGGGAGGCGGGGCGGCCGGTTCTTGGGCCTACCTCCTTTCTCGACCTCGAAAGGATAACCCTCGATGTGCTGAAGTTGGCCCCTGCCTTCATCGCTAAGAGGTTTGAGCAGCAGCATAACAAACGTAGCATCCATAATATTGCTAAGCAGACTTGCCACGCGCACCCACCCCAGCCCATGCAGCTCCCTAGTTAGTTAATGAACACGGGCTCTGGTGGGAGTTGGCGGCTAAAGCGTCGGCCGGCAAGCATGGCTTATATCCAAAAAAAGTGTTATCTGCCAGGCAAGCGCTTGGAGGCGCGACCCCGACGGCCACGAAAGTCCGATCCTGGGGATACTCGCTGGCACCTGAGTGCAGGTTTGGTTGCGGGGACCCTGGCACCGTGTTCCTTAGTGCCTGGCAGTGTGTCCATGGCAGGAATAGGAGAGATGAGGTTTTCGCCGAGTAAACCATCGCCCAGGCACTCGAGGCTGGAGAGACCAGCCTGTTCCCCTCTCGACGCTGGGTGGCGCGGCCCCCAGCAGACCCGCCAGCAGAAGGCTGGGGCGTCAAATTCTGTTCTGCAGGGCTCACAGTGGCCCCCTTTGCCTTCTCGCCCGAGGACAAACTCTATTCGGGCGGTTCCTGTCTGAAGCCGGATGTGGGGCACTTGGCGAGGGCGGGGTGGATGCCCAAGGGAATTTTGCCCGAGGTATCTACGGCCACGCCCCAATGGAATTTGGCCAGAGCAGTAGATTAGGAGAACGAATCGGCATGATGATGGTCCACCTGCGCACCGAGCGCGGTGATTAACGCGTTGGCGTTGAGCCGCTGGCCGTGGACTTCGCGGTCCTGCTTCGGGGACAGGCCCATCCTGACCAGGTCCTGTCTTCCTTGTGCGATGCTGCACATTTTTGGCGCGAGGTGGCTGCGTTTCTCGAGGTGGGAGAATGGGCGATCCTCTACGAAGTGAAGGCACACATGGCGGAACAATCCGCCAGGTCGGAGCAGGAGAATATATATATATTATAATATATATATATATATTATATATATATATATATATATATATATATATATATATATATTATATATATAATATATATATATATATATAGACATATAACGGCGCACCGGGTCCGGGGGCCCGGGGCCGGGACCTCGACCACAAATGTGGGCCCCGGGGGCCCCGGAGGCTCGTCGGGGCTTGCCAGAGGCCTCCCCGGTCAGACAAGATGGCCCAAAAAGCGCCCAAGACGGCCCAAGAAATTTCCAAGAGGCCTCCAAGAGGGCTCTAAGATGCTGAAGATGGCCTCCAGACGTCCAAGGACGCCCCCAAGACGCCCCAAGAAGCCTCCAACATGCGTCCCAAGAGGGCCCCTAGACGCAAAAATTGGCCCATTCCCTTCGTAAAACGTACATTTTCACAAAGTCGCCTTTTGGGCTTTCCGACGTTACAGGACGGCCCAAGAGGCGCCCAAGACCGCCCCAAGACGGCCCAAGAAGCTTCCAAGAGGGCCCCAGGACAGCCCAAGAGGGCCCCAAGACGGCCCAAGAGGCGCCCAAGATGGCCCAAGAGGGCCCCAAGACGGGCCCAAGAGGGGGCCCAGAGGGGGACCACGAACCGCAAGCTCGAGCCTTCCGCCCCAAGAGGCCGCCAGGAGGCCCCAAGGAGGCCCCTCAAGAGGCCCCAGGAGACCCCCAAGAGGCCCAAAGGAGGCCCCGAGAAGCCCCAAATCGGCCCCCAAAATGCTTCGAACCTGCTTCCAGGAGGCCCCCGACAGGTTCAGAGGCTCCCGAGAAGCTACGTCAAACTCCCAGCGAGCGGCCGGACGAGGCCCCCCACAAAATCACAAGAGGGTTCCAGTATTTGTATCCTTCAGCGCTCTCTGGCCTTCTTCCCCTGCCCCCTTCCCTGCGACTTTCGTTGACTCAAGCTCGCCTCCTAGCTAGAACCTAAGCGCGCGCGAAGCGCGCGCGTGGTTCTATATATATATATATATTATATATATATACATATATATATATATATATATATATATATATATCCTTGGAAACAAAGCGGCTGACTGGCTTGCGGGCCACGATTCTCGGCCCCACGATGTTGTGCCTGGTTTATCCGAGGAAGTTGTTTCCACTTGCAGGCGTTTTCGTGAGCTGTTCCTGGGGATGGGTCAAGTCCATGCCCCGTGGCCCTCCCCAGCTGACCTGTTCGATGAACTCGATAAGGGATGTGTGAGACCCCGTCGTGGCAGGTCGTCCGTGCCGCCTCGCATCTCACACTGGCACATCGTTCATTGGCGTTGCAGCTGCTGTCTTAGAATTGTTTCGGCTCTCACCAAGACTCTATGTATTGGCATGGCTCCTCTGTGTCAGATGTGTTGCGCACCCCTGGACACTTCGGCCACTCGCTCCATGTCGGGTTTGGTGTGGGGTCAGGTTTCCCCGTGGTCTTTTGTTCCAGGTGTGGTGCGTTCTTGATTCAGAAAGCCATCACACTTCGGTCGAGGTGTGAGCCTACTAACTGTAAGGAGAAGCGTACCCTCCTGAATGGCAGGCTTCCCGGTACGCCGTGCCGACATCATTCCCCCCAGTTGGAGAGCGGGACCGCCTTGGGGGAAGTCGTCACTCACTTATAGTTTGGGCTAGTGCCCACGAGTCAGCTGTGCTAGGTATAGCTGACTTTCTAGGTACCCACAGTACCCACAGGAGGAGGAGGAGGAAAAGGCGGAGGAAGGAGAGGGAGGAGGAGGAGGAGCCGCAGAAGCAGCAGGAGGAGGGCAGCGACGACGATGACGCGCACGGCGTGGAGCCGAGGAGTGGCTCCAGCGAGACGGCCAGCAGCGCGGCGCAGCATGGCGTGTGGCAGTGCATGGCCCCAGTGGCCGACGAGGACGCGGACGGTTTTGTGCCGAGGAGTGGCTGGAGCGAGACGGAGAGCAACGCGGCGCAGCACACCGTGTGGCAGTACATGTCCCCCATGATTGTGCCTGGGATGGCCCAGGCCGCGTTGCAGCAGGCCGTGCTCGTCCACGATCCCGCGGCCCTTGGGGTGCCCAACAACCCTGACCGAACCTCCTCGGCCAGCCGTTCATCCCTTTCACTCCCAGACCTCCAACGTTTTGAGCAACACTTTTTTCGTAAGCGGCGAGGCGGCGAAATCCGCACCAGCGTAACAGCTAGGTATGGGGCACTAACTAGCGAATTGGCCAGCGTGCAAGGAGGGAGGGGGGAGGCCGACGAGAGGAAGGAGGGACGCTCAGACGCCGAAGAATTCGACGATGAGCAGCCGGCGGGCGGCAGCAGCCAGGCGCGCCGGGCCAGAGCGCGGTGGGCGGCCGTGGCGAACGTCTTGAAAAAAAACATACACAAATAATATATGGTGTTTGGCCACGTTCTTTTTATGAGGGTCGTTGTGTGGCCCCTGGATTTGTCAACGCGACCCATGATGAACAATTCAGTCCCCCACCCACGTCCTCCCCGTGATCTTACCTTCTGACATATTTCCTTCCTTTCTATGCGAACGACATTGGGGAAGCAGAAACGAACATCTGAGAGGAGACCGGGGCCAGGGGCCTGCGGGCTTGCATGTCAACCACCAGTCGCGACGCCGAGGGCCAGTCCCATCGTTTCGGGTTCCAGGATCTTTTCCCAAGAGCAGCAAGACGGCCCCCAGTGATGGCCGAATCTGATCCCAGCCACCCCAAGACGGCCCACGAAAGCTCGAAGAGTGCCGCAGAAGCTCTGAAGACGTCGCAGAACCGGTGAACAGAGTTCCCAAAAGTATATGAAATGCGTGACATCATTGCTTTCTCATTCTTCAGATCGTCCAAGACTGTACATCCGTCCCCAAGACCTCCCCAAGACGGCCCAAACGGGCCTTATGAGGGTCTCCCCAAAGACTACCCACGAGGGACCCAAACGCCCAACAGGGCCATAGGACAGCCCAAGAAGGGCGCAACTATGGCTCCAGTACGGCGACACCCAAGACGGCGTCGAGGGGCCCCAGACGCCCCAAGACTACCCAAAGGTAGCCCGAAGGGGCCCAGGACAGTCCAATGGAGCGTCAGGGTTCCCCAAAGCCCCAAAGAAGGCCCAATGTCCCAAGAGGTCCTGCAGAATTCAACCGCAGCCGACTAAGTTCTACGATGCTTTTCGTCCACAACTGCGTTCCGTCTCCACACCGTTCGGCCATGCATGCTCCTCTTACCGGCAGGGTGCGGCGGTACCTCACCGTTGGCGTCGTCGATGTTCTTCTTCCTGCTCCTGTCCTTCCCTTTCATTTCTTCACGATTCGCGCATCCCCACCAGCCCACTTGGAAGCCCTGCCCATGAGAGCTGACGGGAAAAGAGGCGAAGAGAAACATACAGGGAAACAAAGCGGGCAACCAGGTTGAACCGAGAGATGTTTGGGAGCAAGGTGGGGGGGTCTTGGAGCGTCTCTTCGAGGCATCCCCGGCGCCCGCGTGGGGGCGAGGAAAGGAGGAGCAGGAGGAGGAGGAGGAAGACGACGACGACCACCACCACCACCACCACCACCACCACCATGACGACAAAGAGGAGGAATGGGGAACGAAAGACGCTGAAGGCAAGGACGAGGACGAGGGCGAGGACAGAGCCCCAACAATCGCCTCGTGGAGCCCCCTTGGGACTCTCTTGGGGGATCTCGGGGTCCGTTTGGGGCTCTTTTGGAAGTTCTTGGGGCCCTCTTGAAACCCGCTTGGGGGTCCTTTGGGAGCCCTGGAGGGCCTCTTGAGGTCATCTTGGAGGCCATCGATCAAAAGGAGGGGGGCGATTCGCCTTGCCCCCCTGGGACCATCACAGTCGCCTCTTGGGGCCCTAATTATTGGGGCGCCCTTGGGCCGCTCTTGGGCACTCTTGGGGCCGCCTGGGGGGGGCCTCTTGGGCCCCTCTTGGACCTCTCTTGGGCCATCTTAGGGTCACCTTGAGGCTCGAAAAGCTTATCGGAAGCGAAATTGCTCATCCTCCTCCTCCTTCTCCTCCTTTCCATCTTCCTCCTCCTCCCCCTTGATTATCCTTAGATTGTTGACGGATTTGGGCCTCCTGGGGGGTGTCCTAAGCGGGTTCCGTCTTGTGGCCTTGGTCGGACCTCTGGGACGTGTGTCGGCAGCTACTTCGAACCATCGTCGGCTGTCGTGAGCCATATTCAATGCCATGTTGGAGCGTTTCAGGCCATCTTGGAGCCAGTTGGGGTAAACCTCTCAGAAGGGAAGAGGGTGCTGGAAGGGAAAATAAAGAACTCGTTGGACCAACCTAGCCCAGAGGGCAGGTGGGATTCCTGCAGATGTGTCCTTGTTTTCCTGCTCCATGTTCCTCCAGCTTCCGCCTCGCATCCTCCCTTCCGAAAGGCTACAAGTACCCGCCCAGAGGGCCCTCGCATCGTGGAGCTCAGTCCACTCACTGAGGCATTCAGCAGTCGTTGGACGGTTTCTACTGTGTCCAGAGCTCCACGGCCTCAACAACATTAATCACGTGTTCAAGCTGAATCTTTGCACGCCATTGGCACCCTGCAGTTCTAGAGTAGCATGGCACGGTCGCTCTTCCGCGCTGCGTCTGGCGCCCAAGCCAGCGATAAACCTGAGCGGGCGCGAAGCGTACGCACGATGGCTTACAATGAGGTGTTTCCAGATCGCGCCAACCAGGGGAGGGGACTGTGGTTGTTATGCCCATTTCGGCCTCTCCTCCTGCGCCTCGCTCTCACCTCCCTTACCCCGCGGACGTATCGGATCGCAGGGCCCTTGAGCTGTGTGGCGCGCAGGCAGCGGGCGCGCGCAAGCCCCCGTAAAAGGAAAGAGAACGTGCTCTATCTTAGCACGGGTCTCCCTATTTGCACATCGCGTCTCTCTCTCTCTCTCTCTCCCTCTCCCTTTCATTATTCCATACAGCTCATTACTACAGTGCACTTCGCAGGGGCATCCCTACCAGGACATCCCAACCCCGTTGCAGGAGTTGCACGGGTCAGGTATCTGCGCAGCCGTTGGATACAAAAAGGTGTGGCCAGCATGCTGGTGATGCTTGGGACGGGATCTGGCGTGGGGATAGCGGTCATATGTTACCCCTTCTGCGCCCCCTCTTGCACGGCGTGTTTTTGTTCGCCATTCGTGTCAGCACGCTCCAACGTGCACCGCATTCTACATGGGGCGTTCCAAAACAGCTTCGAGGAACAGGATTTGCGATCTCTTCCGCGGCGGAAGGTCGGCGGAAGTAAAACGAGGCCGCGGAAGCTGACGGGAACCGGCGGAAGCTCGGCGGAAGGTGGCGGAAGTGACATCAGCGCCCCCAGGAGATGAAAACGTGTTGGGGTTCAGGGTTCCCGACATCGTTCACACGGTGTTCTTTTTGTCAGGCGCATCGCTTACTAATTTGCTGCATGCCACGCGGGGGCACGGGGGCGCATCTTGCTTTGCGGGTTCACCAGGGCACTTGGTGAGACGCTGCCCCTTGACCCGCATCGAGCGGCCAAGGTCGCCTGGACACCTTACCCCCATGCACTGAAACAGGGGAGGAGCGCCGTGGAGAGGAGGCACGTGGAGGACCAGGAGGAAGGAGAGAAGGCCGAAATGGGCGACACATGGTCCGCCGCGCGTTCTCTTTCTCTCTCTCTCTCTCTTGTTCTCTCCCTCTCTCTCTCTCTCGCTCTCTCTCTCTCTCTCTCTCCCTCTCTCTCTCTCTCTCTCTCTCTCTCTCTCTCTCTCTTTACGACCCGAGGAAGTGTTTGGTTTCGGATGCGCCCCAGCCCCGTGATGCTGAGCTGCCGCCCCGCCCCTCCCCCCCCAGCGCGCTGGCGCCCAGCATCCAGCTCCCCGCTCTGCCCAGCAGGCGACCACCACCTACGACGGCACGGCGTCGTGGCCGTTCCCCGCGGGCACGGTGGGCTTCCAGCCGTGGGCCGCGGAGGAGGAGCGGGGGTGCCGCGGCGGCGGAGGAGGGGCCGAGGGTTGGAGACATCGCAGGGACACCGCAGGGGTGGAGGAGGCGGAGTCGGAGGATCGAGCTTACCAAGGCCGTTATTTGTTGATTGTTTGTTCCTTTTTTCCTCCACATCGGCGGCGGGCATCGTTATTCTAGCCTTCGGACACTCTGCCTCCGCATTTACTCTCTGTAGTTCCTGAGCACGCTGCAAGCCTCGCTTATAGTATGGCCAGCGTAAACGGAGGATCGAGCAGGAAGGAGGAGGGCGAATGTGGGATAAATGATAATGATAATGATGATGATGTTGATGATACTGATGATGATGGTGATGATGATGCTGATGATGATGATGATGCTGATGCTGCTGATGATGATTATGATGATGATGATGCTGATGACGATGACGATGATGCTGATGATGGTGATGATGATGATGCTGATGATGATGATGATGGTGATGATGATGATGATGATGATGATGCTGATGATGAGGAGGAGCAGGAAGAGAGGAGGAGGAATACCTGGACTTTGTGCAAGCCCCCCCTATTCGGAGGATGCCAAGATGAAGTCTACCAGTCGATGTTGGTCGCAGCTAGCTCGTTCCATTGGCTTCTCTTACACCGGCGCACATGATTTGGCGATCCAGCGGTTCACCGAGCCGTTTTCTGCATATCGTCAACCTTGGCTTGGCGCAGAGCTCGCCCAGCAAGCTACAGTTCGAGGCATGATTCTATAAAGCAGCCCGGAAGCTGAACACATGAACACCTCTTTGTCGGGAAGCATTGTTGCAGCCTGAGTCTCCCATGTAGTTGGGTGGTCTATGGCGGGCCAGGTCCGCCGCGAAGAAGGCGCCCAGCCCATCGTTGAAGTTCACAGACGCTCTGGCGCTTCCCAGGTGGCTCGGACACCGTGCGTGACACGAGAGCTAAACGGTATGGTCGTTCCCCTTGCCGCGCGAAGTTGAAATGATTCCATCTTTTTTGTTAAATCCTGTTGGGAACCAATCGCTCTCTTGCGGGCGTGGGGGGGGCGCTCAAGAGATCGGCGCTTGCCGTCTCCGCCGGGGCAGCCTCGGGGAATCTCGGGGAGTCCATACCGAATGAAGTGGAGTCTAGGCTCTGTGATGGAGGAGACAGAACTAATATATATATATATATATATATATATATATATATATTGAAAGAGAGAGAGAGAGAGAGAGAGAGAGAGAGAGAGAGAGAGAAAAAAAAAAGGAGAAGAAATTGTGAGAGAGAGAGAGAGACACACACGCATATAAACAAACAGAGAGAACAACGAGACAAAGGGGGAAAGAGAGAGAGAGAGAGATGAGGAGGAGGAGGAGGATAATGGGGCAGAGAGGAGGAGGAGGAGGAGGATGCAAGGATGGCGAGGACCTCGGAGGAGAAGAAGATGAAGAGATGGGGAGGGGGAGGAGGAGGAGGGGGAGGTGGAGGAGGGGCAGGGAGAGAAAAGGAGGGATGAAGGCTACGATGCTGATACGGAGGAGAAGGAGAAGGAGGAGGAGGTGGAGGAGGACAACAATAGTAAAGCCAGAGTGTGCGTCAGCGTTGCTGCAAGGCATCCTGCTGCCCCAAGTTCCCTCATCATCAGTCCCTGTACGTTTCTGGTTCCCTACGCGAGACACCCCCTTCAAAGTCGAGATGACAATGGACATGCCAGAAGCCAGGGCCACGTTCTGGAACGGAGCCGCCTCCCAGTTCGTCGACGTAAAGTGAGTGTCCACGGGTCGCATCTTACAGTCTCAGAACCGTTCGGCGAGGGCCAACTTGTTTGTCATGGGTATTGTGTTTGGTTCTCGCATCGTCGTGTCTGGGAGAGGACGGTGACAAGGAGGAGGAGGAGGAGGTGGGGAAGGAGGAGAACGAGAAAGAATGAGAAGGAGGAGGAGGATGCGGCATGAGGCGGACGAGGAGAGGGAGAAAGGGGACAATGAGGAAGAGGAGGGAGGTGAGGAGGGGGGAGAGGAGGTGGGAGGAAGAGGAGGAGTGGCATGAGGAAGAGGTGGAGGAGGAGGACGACGACGAGGAGGGGGAGGAGAGCGGCAGGGGAGCAAGACGAGGCGGAGGAGGAGGAGGGCACGAGAGGCCACACTGCTCTTCCCTCGAGCCCACGCGCGGGCTGCCGCCGAGCCCGTCGCGCGCGGGGGTCATGCGAGCAGGAGGCACAGGACGAGGAGGAGGAGAAGGAGGAGGAGGAGGAGAAGGAGGAGGAGGAGGGCGGAGGAGGAGGAGGAGGTACAGGAAGAGGAGGAGGAGGAGGAGGAGGAGCAGGAGGAGGAGGAGCAGGACGCGGAACCTCTCTGGGACGGTCTTGGGGTGTGCTCGGACACTCCTGGGCTTTCTCCAGCCGCCTCGGTAGGAACCCGTTTCTTTATTGCTTGGGGCATGACGGGCGTCATGGCCCCCGCTTCCCCCCCCCCCTATGACGTAACGTTCCCAGTGCGCTCCGGGCATTGCCGCCGTACGCTTTGGGATCCGCGTAGGAATCCGCATAGGAGTCTGGTGCGCAGTCGTCGTCGTCGTCGTCGTCGTCGTCGTCGTCGTCGTCGTCGTCGTCGTCGTCGTCGTCGTCGTCGTCGTCGTTGCCGTGGTCATCGTCGTCGTCGTCGTCGTCGTCGCTCGTGGCTTGTCGCTCGTCGCTCATAGTCGTCGTGCGCGCGGACGCGGCTGAAGCCTGTTTTTTGTATAGAAAAACCGGGCCGATGACGGCAATCATCAGCGGCGTCTGGGAATGCATGGGAATGACGGAGGACGGGTAACACCAGCATGTAGGTGGCGATTTGCACCACAGTGCCTGCGTGCACCACAGCGCCTGTGTACACCACACCGCCTACGAACACCACAGCAGCCGCGTGCAACACAGCGTCGGTTTGTGCCACCGTGCCTGCGGGCACAACAGCTCTTGTGCACACCACAGCGCTTGCGTACACCACATCCGCCGTGTGCAACACAGCACCAGTGTACACCACAATGCCTGCGCGCATTGCAGTGCATGTGTACACCACGGCGCCTGTGTGCACCACAGCAACCGTGTGCAACACAGCACCACTGTTGCATATATAATGTTACAACGAATCTTTATGACAAGATGGAGCGCTTGTGGGTCTCACAAGAAAAACACCAGACCATAATCATTATGGACAACGGAGCGTCGCTGGAATATACGAGTCCTCCCGAGTCCGCTCGCATCACCCTAACTCCTCCCATCTGCGTCCAGGAGGCTCCAGCTAAATTGGCCGTCCGAGAACCAAGTGGACCGATTCAATGGACAATTTTGCGACGCGCGCTGAGATGCGCACGTGCGCTGTAGCACCAACCCGCACGACAGGGGGTAAGCAGGGAGAGGGAGAGGAGGAGGAGGAGGAGGAGGAGGAGGAGGAGGAAGAGGAGGCCGCAGCAGATCCTCACGTACATGCTCTTTCTATATGTCCTATGCACGCAGGCGTTGTGGTGCACACCAGCGCTGCGTTGTACGCGGATGCTGTGGTGTAGACACGCGCTGTGGCGTGCACTTGCGTTACGGTGCACGCAAACATTGTGGTGTACACAGGCGCTGTGTTGCACATGGTGGCTGCGGCGTACACGTGTGCAACGGCGTCGTAGTGTAAGCAAGCATTGTGGTGTACACAGGCGCTGCGTTGCACACGGTTGTTGCGGTGTACGCAGGCGCTGTGGTATACACGCGCGCTGTGGTGCACGCGAGCGCTGTGGTTTACACAGGCGCAGTGGGACAGATCGCCACCTACATGCTGCTCGCGTCGTCGTCGTCGTCGTTCGTCGTTCGTCGTTCGTCGCTCGTCGCGTCGCGCGCGCGTGGGCGCGGCTGCGGTGCCAGAGCCACACGGCGGGGGGCGGGGGGGGTGGCGTTACGTCATACCCCTCCTCGCCCCCCCCCCCATGACGCCCGTCATCGCCGAACAGAAAGAAACGCAGTCTGAAGTTGTCCAGGGTCCTTCTGACTGTGGCCATCCTGTGTCTGTTTCGAGGACCCTCTCGGAGGCTCTCTGGGGCCGCTCGAGCCAGGCCTCGGCGGAAACGCATGGAAACCCGTAAACACTGAACCACTGAAGGTGTCCATTGGTTTTGGCAATCTGCGGATTCCTTCGGTTGGGGCCTCTCGTCCACCTCTGTGAGCTTCCGGGACCTCTTTAGCTGACGTTGACCCACCATCTCGCATGCTCACATCTGAAAAGTGCTTGATATTGATCCATGGAATCGGTTCAGGGCGCTCTCGCCTCGACGCTGGTCACGCTTCTCTCTGAAAGTAACACGCCCCAAGCAGGCAAACCGTTGACCTGGTGGTGTCCTTTCTAGGTATGGCAACCGTGCGACATGAAGGGGCGTGAATACGAGTGTGAGTTTCCAGAGACTTGGATACGTGCAAGAAGTATGAACAGTGAACATCAGTGTTTGGCGACATGAAAAATGAACACGCGTGACATCATCATGACAAGTATGGCAAATAACGGGGGGGCTGGACATGCGGCACACGTCAGAGGATAGGTCGAACCATACACGGGGGGGAACATAGCAGTATGATGCACGTACAAGTGCGAATCAATAGTGCAACACATCACACCTATATAAAGTATAGACAAACATGAGCCGTACGTCCGCATCTGGTTTCACACATCGTGTCTTGCTTCAAGCTTTCGCACGTGGGCATGGTGTTTTCGATGAAGCAAGTTTTTCTACGCTGATGCCGAAGCTGAAAGAAACCGAAGTCTTGAAAAGTTTCCCTGCCATGGGGCGTTGTGACTCTGAAAACGGCGCGACCGCTTGAGCGTGGATTTGCTTTTAAATCCTGGCAGTTGAAGCCCCCAATTACACCGACAACGGCTCCCGCTCGACAACCTTTCACACTTCACTCCGAGACACCTTGGCCGCCAAAGAGGCCCCCAAAGTCATCAGCGGCGCTGTCGCGTGGCCTCGCAACCCTCCTGGGGGTCCATGGTGGGCTTGGGGGGG